AACTTTGCTCGACACAAGATGAAATAATGACACAGTCCAGAACTAATTGGTGTGAGCAGTGTATAAAAAGGAGAAACCAACACTGTAACAAAAGCTGAGATTATTGTTCTCCTGTTGAAAACAGGACAGCATCCACTTCCTGTGGATTCATCAGTGCGGTACTTGTAAAAAATGCTCACTTTTTGTGTGCATGTTAGTGAGTGATGGAGGGGCGTGGGTGTACATATGTATGCGTAACTCTTTTCTCTGGCCTGTCAGCACTTGGAGATTGATGGTGAGAAATGTCTAACTGGTAGGAAACCTGTTTAAGAGTTTTTAGTACCGAGAAAAAAACAAGCTGCCTTCAAACTCAACAGTGAAAGAACAACACTCACATCACTTGGAATGGGCAGTTAGGTGTGTGGATGAACCTAAGCTCTCGGATATACCCCCGTGGGACGTTGTTAATGGTGGAACGACAGTAGCATCGCTCCACCAGGCTGATGGGTTTTGCTGCAGAAGCAAAGAAATAATACATTTGTCAGACAAAACAAAATTTGTAGCAAAGCTTGTTTTCAACAAGCAATAACGTGGGCTGCATTGCAAATCAAAAGATTACAGGGGTTCAATTGCAGACAAACAACAAAAAATTTTTATCAGCAAATGAAATGATTTACAACATCTTCTTCTCTGGATCTACAAGTTAAATCATGTACTTGGGCGTCCGCCAAGTGAAAAAAAATCTACAGTCTGTACACTGTACGGTGGATGTGCAGCTCAGGGTTTACAACAATCCATTAACTACATCATCTACTTTGCTCCCACAGGGTCATAAAGCCTGTATTTAGACCTGATTTATATTTTTTTTAAATCCAGTTTAGCCCTCATAGATTCTTGTTTAGATTACAAACAGAACACACACAGAGAAAGAGGTGATAATCAGGACTTGTAGAGTCACAAACACTGAACTCTTTTAGTGGCACATAGGTTTGCACTGTGTGGTCTTTGTAGCTCATAACGGATGTGCATACTTTCCACTACAGTCTGGGCTTTTGAGTATTTTGTGCAAAGATGTTAACAGTTGATTTACGTGGAACAAATAAACAGAACTTTGTTGCCATGCTTTTTCTTCAATAAAAATGCAGGTAGAATAATGTGAACCCTGAGATATCTTTGAGTGTATGAAAATGGCAACAGTATGGGTTCACACAACAGATGGTGAGACATGCCTTTGCAGCTTAAAACCCAATGCAAATTGTTTTTACACCTGATCTAACGGTATTAACATGACAAAAGGTGCAGCAGCCACAAGTTGTCGCCACGTAGACAAGCGCAAACTTCGTAATGCCTAACTTGTGCGTAATTAAAGGAAAACAATGGAAGAACAAATGCTGATCAGTGATCTGACGAGACATTTCTCCAACAGCCAAGAGCCACATGTTCAGTTCTTTTATGCACCGGGAAATAGCATCCCTTCTTACTGCAACCCAAGCTCACGGACGCATCAAACAAGCATTTGTGCTTCAGAAAAAAAAAAAAATTAAATAATGAATGATAGGCACATTTATGTTGTTTGTTGGATACATTTGCAGATGATCAAATAACCAAATTCTAAAAAAATAAATATGCTTTCGTTTAAAAAAACACAATGATAAGTAATCAGAGCTTGCACCCCAAAAACGTAATGAGTGATGGAAAAGGATAATGCTCATAATAATATATGATGCTAATAATACATACATGTAAAGTAAAAATTGAATCATTTTATTTTTTTCACAAATTCCACTGTGACCCAAAGCATAAAAAGAAAGGTTTGTAACTTGCAGCTTTTCATCATATTATTTTACAGCCATATAATCAGAAAATAGCTTCATACCTTGTGACGGAGGCGCATATATCACCATTGTGAGCGCAGCCACGACTGCCAGCAACTTCACATCCATTTTGTGTTGAAAGATCTGTAGCTCGAGTCTTCTCAGAGTAAAATCCAGAGTAGTTGTGACAGACGGGACTCCTGCAAAGTCTTTTAAATTACGCACCAGAGTCAAGTTGTTCAGACGGATTAAGGAGAAAACTTCCGGTCAGAAAAGTAAAAGCCTCCATGCCACACGCCACAATCATGGCGTAAAAATGGATTAAATCACTACTAATGTCTCCACAGTCTGACTGAAAAGGCTGTCTCTTTCGTCACTTTTATTTTGCTATAATGTTTTCTTTTGGCTTTGTTTTCTGGCAGATTTTAGAATTGATCAGGGCACCCACTCCCCAACTCCTCAACTGCGCACGTAAAAAAAAGAGACCATCCAAGAAAATCTGATATCAACCGTTTCTTTTACGTTTTCTTTTCTTTTAATTTGGTTTTTGACACGGGGACCAAGGGACCTCTTCGGAGTTGTGTTGGGTTTTAGTCATAGTTTGCCTTAAAGAACTTGGCCCAAATGGATAAATAACGTTCAGCCTAATTAGAGGACTTATAAAAAGCTTGACTCTTTCTGTTACTTTAATGGTTCTCGTAAATAAGACTTGCCGTAAAAACCCCTCCCAAATCGTGTTTGGGACTCAGTAAAGTTAGAGAACTTTAGAATAATTCCGACACAACTGTTTATATTCAGCTCAGCTTAAAATTCGGAGTCTTTCTTCCTGTGTGCCAACAGTGCTTTTTTTTAGGCTATCAATTAATGGAACATTTAATGGAATGCAGATGTGCGCAAGCCTTCAGACGTTTGGCTTTAATCTAACTATCCGGAGTGTATGTGTGAATATTAGACTGACAAATGGTGTGTTGGTATAAAGAATCACGTCACGTTTGTATTCCTTAGATGATGATGTGTTTTTATGCGTAAATTCATCGGGCAATCATTCCTGGACAGGCCTTTTCAGTCAAATACACATGGAGCTGAACTAAATGCAGTTTGGCAATGTAATTATAGCATGAAAACCGTCACTGAGAGGCTCACAAAAGCTTTTCTTTACTCAGACCGAAGACAGTGTTATGTTACATTTCTTTCTGAATCTCAGAGCAACGACAATAATAGGAATAAGTTGCCAGCTTTGCATTTTCTGTTCTTTCTTTTTCTTAGTTATTTGAGACACATCTCTCATCACACAACTGTGGGAAATATAAGTATCTGCTGACAGAGCACTTATCTTAAAAATATGTGAGATATATGTGAGATGTCCTTCAAATTAGAACAACCGTGTTTCACTGTTGTGATCTACTGAATCTTCCAGTATAAATATCCCTCTACGTTGGTTTTTAAGCTGTATCAGTCTTTTCTCTCAAGAGTGTTTCTTAAACAATTGCTGGATAATCATTTGATATCAGTTCAAATTGTCTGTGTTTTGGATCTTGTGAGTTGTTATAGAAGAAACCATGGAGACAGACAGGAGGAGACGCACACAGGGTGAAATCAGTTGACAGCTGAAAGGACTTATTGACTTCTCTCACAGGCCCCAAAGACTGCCCCTTAAGTGTCTGTGTGTATGGGTGGGTCTGTGTTAAAAACAGAACGATAGAGCAAGGAAAGAGTAAAACCTTATTTGAGTAAGATTCTCTCAGCTTGGAGTGAGATTTAACATCATAGCTTTTCAGATCAAAGTGCTCCCGTCGCAACAACCTATTGGGTTGCTCTCAAACAGGAAAAAAAATGTTACTTTCACTTCCCCAAAGAAACAGGGACCTTTGAGTCTGCACAAAAAGTTGTCCTGCTGTGGGACTTGCACAAGCACTTTTACAAATGGGAGGGATTTTTCTTCAGCACCAATGCACACATGCACAAACAGATAAAAGCTGTAAAATAGGGGCCAACCTCCCATGTCATGGGAGAGAACTAAGAGCACATTCAAGCACAGATTTACCTTCTCTTACTGCAGTGAATGAACTTTTGCAGTGTAGTTACACAAGGAAAATTGGCAGGAACATCATGTTGCCCTATTATTGTGTCATTCTTGTTTGTAGTGAAATGAAACAGTAACTGCTTTCAAACTGATGGTAAAAGGCAGCTCGATTTTAAGTGGTTTTATTCACAGTTACTATCTTAGGTCTATGTACACAATAACTTTCTTTTGTCCTGGGAAACATTTTTTGAAAACATATATACCTGTTATGAATTACTCACACCTGTCCACTTTCTCTTTGAATTGCAGTTTAACGCTGTGTAGCCCATCTGTCCTTCTGTTTAGGGAGGTCTCTCTCCGGGGGTCCATCTCCAACTCTCTGCGCAGTATATTTCTAACTGTACTCACAAAGTTTCCCTTTGACTGCAAGAGTAAATCACACAACAGGCTTTTCTCTGAAGTTCAGGAAGGGTAGCAGGTGTTTTCCAGGGCTTGTTAGAGACTTCAATGTTTTTCTGTTTTTTTTAAGATATTTATTGCAAAAAGAGACAATGGAAGAAAATATTGAATGCATATTTAAGTTGGTTAAGGTGGTTATCCAACAATTGAATGATAATACAAAGGCTAAGATTACCAGAATTACCAGGGCACCGGTTAGGAGAAGGGTGTTCAGTGCCATGAGATCTTTGCTGATGGGGAATGGTGAAATGAACTGAATGGTTACTGTACCACAAATGGCAGGAGAACATCGATGACATACAGTCTCAATATAGAACAAGTCATTTATCACCAAAATGTTTTTTTATATCTATTTTTCTTATTTTGTTCATATTTGTTGCTGAGGAACGAAAGACTCCACAAAAAACAGGCCTGCTTATTTGCTCCACTCCTGGTGGACTGCTTTGGTCTTTAGGGACATGAGCATATTGCTTCTGTGTTTGTAGATGAGCACAGTTTCAATATGCCACGAGCTTATGTGAACAGTCTCATATACATTCCATCTGATACGATCACATAAAAATGCGACTCTTTGGCAGTTAAATCAGATATTTCGTTTCTTGAATAAGCGGTCAGGAATCAGTTATATTCAAAGATAAATGTGCAGTATACTAAACAACCTTTGGACAGCGTAGCGACCACACACACACACACACACACATCGTTATTACTACAATCACCATTTGCAGCCACTGCATATGTGTCACATTTTTGCAAATTCTATTGTAAACAGTCCTTCATTTCCTTTTTGCAAACACATACAGTTTATTTCTCACATACTATACCAAATTTCATGTTCTTTTATCAAGCTGTTTCAAAAAAGACTTACTTGAAACGCTTACATTACGTCCTGGAATTCATAAACAAATCTGTATGCTGTTGGTGACAAGGCAGAAAAATATATCCAAAGCCAATGGCTTGTTCCACATTCCTCAAATGCTTTTCACCTTCAAGAAGACCCTGTGTGCCCAAGGGGTCTGAAGAATGGATGGCTGCACGTATTATGGTGAAGTTGCCAGTTTCCATAGATCAGAATTGGGTTTGAGAGCGTACAGACGACTGGCCCCAGTAGGGGATCAGCCAGTACTCCATTGAAGCCCTGAGTGGCTGAGGGCCTGCTGGTTCAGTCTTTTGTCTGCTTTCCTCTGGAGAGTCACGAGCCCTGTGCCTCTATTCCACCATATGGACCACCTCAATGACCTGTCAACAAAGTCTTTAGCAATAGATGTTGCATCAAAAGAGAAGTAAGGCCCTCGACAATAGCTTTGGAATCAATGGTCATTTTAAAGGTAGGGTGGAAAAGGAGCTTTTTTTAGTCTCATTTTACAGCATCTCATAACGTCTTAAGTCAAATATAATAGGAACATTTCCCCATGCTTCTTCTCCCCTGACTCATGCTGCCTGCAAAGAAAACCCCTTTCTGTTTTCATGTTTTAAATAATCATGTTTCAATATAAAATAAATAGTTTAACACTTTATCTTCTGTATCATCCATCAAAAGGTTTGTTTAGCAAAAACACTTTTGCCTTCATCACAATGCTGTCATGACATTAATATTAACATTTTAATATCCTTTTTTCCAGACCAAGTATGACTCAACATTCTGCCACTGCAGGCAAGACAGCAGTAATAATAAGTAACAGTTTGCGTTCTGATAATCCTCGAAATATGGTGAAAAACGGCTCGTTTTACACCACATCATAAAGTCAGATTTAAAGCAAATGTCAGTTGTGATAGTTTTTATGGTTCTAGCAGTAAGTTTATGCCGGAGAGGACCACATGAAACACAGCTGGTGTGGAGACGCTTTATGGTGAATCCATTGGGTTTGACACCTGGTGCTGTCTTACCACGGGAACAAAAAGCCTTCAGCTGCTTCAGCGATGGTACCCAGGAGGAGCCGAGAAACAGTTCAGAGACATGTTACCACTCACAGTAACTCTACTAAATCTGCTTTTTGAAGTTCAGTATGATGCTGTACCGTTTCCATGCGCTTATGTTCTTTTTTTCATATATAAACCAAAGGAATGTTGCTGCGGTCCATCATCTTGTTTCTTTTTCTGAAAGTTCTTAAGTGGTTCAAAACTCACTCTAACAACATAAACAAAAGAAGATTGTAGTTTACATATTGTGCTGAAAATGTCCTGCATTTAATCTGATCTGTTAAACACGTCAGCTTGGTTTTGTCCCTCTACTGTAATTTCCTAATTCTGTGTAAGTTGCAATCAGTGAACCAAGAACTTGTATACACAGAAGCATTTGTCCACACAGTTGTTGCTATGATGCAAGGGTACATAAACACATATTAAATAAGGAGACAGACACACACATTCAAACACACTTTTTCTCACAAGCAAAAGCTCCTGCAGTTTATTTTGTCACCGACACTGAAAACCACAACAAAAACAATACGGCCCATGCTTTCACCCCAGCCACATGTTTAGTCCTTGACAAAAAGCACTGACACACAATCCCTTTCCACATTTAGCTCAGTTTTCTTTTGGTCTCGTATATTAGTCTGCCTTCTCAAACAGTTGATGTTTTTGGTCGTTAAACCTGATACATTAGCCTGGAGACCAAAAGAACCCAAAAAGCATTTGAGATGCAGGGAATCTTTTCATATCTGATTAGTCTGCAGGTCAGTGTCCCATGCAGGCAATTAAGTTGCGGTCTACTCCCTTTCTGTGTTTGTCATCAACCCTAAGGCCTCTGAGTGCTGTGCAAGATGCTCAAA